CGGGGTCCCTCGAGGGGAACGGACCGGTGCGCGGGGTTGTTACGGTACGTGTTGCCTGAATGCAGGGCCAAACCAGTTGCGTGGGTGTTTGGAGCTGATGGAAGAAAACCGTGAGCTGGGTCTGAGATCCACGGGCTGCCAGTGTAGGAGAGGTTGTTGGTGAAGCCCACCTGCCTTCTTAATGGCTTCCTGCAAGTTAATAACACTTGTTTCCCCACGAAGCTGATAAATACATCCTTTCAGAAGACAGGCTCACCCTGAAGGCTCCAAACAGTACTAGCTCCAGGCTTGCCTTGGTAAGTCAGTTCAGTGTTAGCTTCCTAACAGCTAAGATACTTTATGTTCTGCTTCCAAGATGAATTCTCAAACTAAAGCTACAGCCAACTGTTCTCATCAGTGCTTTCACTGGCAAATCTTATCCTGTTTCAGAAACTTGTCTTTTTCGCTTTTGATTATGTTAGGTTGCATATGTTTTTATTATGTCATAGTCTTCTGGAGCATGACAATTTACACACAAGATTGAGTTCACTGTCTGGCAGGGAGAGTAATTTTTAAAGGTTGGGTTTTTTTGTCTTGATATCAGCATCTTCCAGTATTCCATATAGTTGCCTTTAAGAAGTTTTGGCCACTTTTTCCTTTTGATTGTGGCAATTAGTGTGGAGAAGCCTTTGGGGGGAAGGACTTACGGAGGAGTGGACTACTAAGTGTTTTGAAACAAGAATTTCTCATAAACAAACATGCTTATTGTTTTGCTTACTTTTATTGAGGCACAATCTTTATGCGTGTGAATGTTCTTATGATGATGTGGTTCTTTTTTGTTGCTCTTTGAGCAGAGGATGCCAACGGACAACAGGCACCTGCCAGACAGTATGCAAGAGCAGGACCCTGGTACTACTTCAAGCAATAATTGCATGCATAATGCTGAGCAATTGGGAATTGAACAAGAAAATGGCGTTTGTAACAGTGACCTGGACAATAGTATTAGAGTTCCCAACTCTGCCAGTCAGGCGTCCACTTCCACGGCTGCTCCTTTGGAGGTGCCCAGGAGAGGACAACCCCTTTTACAGATCAACAGGCAGCAGATTCAGTCCATCTCATATAGTGCACAGGCTGCTGAGCTCAAAGGTTTAGGAGTTGATGTCTATGACCAGGATGTATTGGAGCAAGGAGTTCTTCAGCAAGTAGATAATGCAATTAATGAAGCTAATAAAGCAACAAAAATAGCTGATGCGGAAAAAGAATATCAGTCAGTGCTGGATGACTTAAGGTAAATTTTGTGTCATTTCTTACTGTTCCTTTCTGTTACTGACTATCTAATGAGGCTCAGTATCTCATGTTTTTAAAAGCTGGAAGATGAGAAGATGTTTTGAAAGCACTAGATCACATGTACTCTTCTGAATCACCCATCTTTTCAAAAAGGAGAAAGTATTTTTCACATCAGAGCAATGCTTCATTGCTCTTATTTGGCTAATTCAGTCATGCATCAAGGCAGTAGAGGACGGCGCATCTCCTTTTTCGTGTTTGTCTCCTGTCTTACCAAGATGCATGTCGGTTTTCTGGGCAGTGGAAAACTGCACTATACTCTGTTATTCAAAGTTATAGTCAGAAAAAGTGCCACTTCTTCAATTCTGTATGGTTCATGGGGTTATCTGCTATAAAAAAAGCATCCTTGCTGTAACTTGGATGACTCCATATCATGAGTGTACTACAACAAAAACAACCTTATCACAAGTGCTTGTATGAAGTACTTAAACATTTGATTCTTTTAAGCTGTCATTAATTAACATGGTATATTGATAGGAGAAGACTTTGAAGGATAGGAGCCACAAATCTTCTGAGTTTTGATGTTGGATCTCCCTTTCTGTTTCTAGTTTCACTGTAGAGTTACTGTGTGAACTACTGCAGGTAAATAATTCTACCCATGCATCTTTCACTGTGTTGCATTAATGTTGGTTTTTAGTGCTCCAGAGTGCTGTAGGCTTCCAGTACCTATGTGCACTCTCACCTACTCTCTTGTTATGCATATGCTTAATTTTATGCACTTCGTTAACTTTCCAGTTTGGGTGTGGAGATATGAAATTCAGTAAGTTTGCAAAACTGGAACCTAATTTCAGATCCTATGTAACAGCAGGAGGTAATGACTAAGATGCTCATTAAAAGCAATAATAGAGCAGTGTAACCATTGCAGTTAGATTATGTGGTTATTGAAAGAGTGGCATACGGCACTGTCAGTTGATATTTTCCTGCTTTTCTTTAAGAAGCATCCTATGATTTTTCTTACCCCTCTATTTTCACTTTCCACTTAAAGTCATAAAATGAGATTTACATGACGGGGTGCAAATGGTTTCTGCAGACCTGTAGAACGTCTTCCCTATAAGATGTAATGTGCAAGTCTGAAAGTTGATTTTGGAGAAAATTAGCTGAGATATGGCTGGCTTGTTGAGTAGGGGTACTAACAAAAGTAAAGACCTATGACTAGAGCATGATAAAGTTGGTTAAAGTCCTGTAACACAGTGAATGCATGACTGGAGGTAAAATCAGGCAAGAAATGGTTTTTGAGTAGTTGGCACAGAGTTCATGGTGGAAGCTGGATGATTCTGTAATATACACACAAATTTAAGCAGAAGGAGGAGAATAAAAAGTGGTTGAAGTTAAATCCTGTTTAAACCCTGCAGTCCTGCTAAATAAAGCTTTATGGAAGAGTACAGTAGCGGTAGATATCAAGAGACCCTTGGGCCAAGGAAGCAAGAGCCAAAAGGTGGGAGACTTACAAGAGGATGTTGTACTTCAAAGCAACAAAACAGAAGACTGAGAAAGGGGATGGGATGGTTCAAAAGTCTTGAAAGAGAATGGAGAAGTGAAGATGGCAAGTGATATCTGGGGAACTGGTAGAATACATCTCCTAGGAGAACAGTGGTAGAACCCAGATTAGAGCTGGAGAGAAATGTTGGCCCAACAATTTCCCCCCTGACAGTTGTGGAGACTTATGTAGTGCTTTTCTTTGCACATGAGGGGAATAGTGGCCTCTTTGCAGGTGTTGTAAAGAGTTTTCCTTGACACTTTTCATAATGCTTTGAGATGCTAATTTGTGTATCCTTATGAAATACTCTGCTATTTGAATCAACAAAGCTAGATTTGTTGCTTCTGATGGTGGGCCAGTGCCTCCTTCCTTGCAAACGAATTCAACAGCAGAAACAGGTGATATTAGGTCATCATATGTGGTCAACTTGAATTTCATCTTGTATATGGAAACATGAAAAATGGTAGTGTATGACTAAGGAAAGTTTAATGTTGACATGCTGTTAATTCTTTGAGCTAGTCTGTCTTCCTGAAACTGTATTTGTATCTTGTAATCTATTCTTTGTATAAGAGGTACATTGTAAAGGTAAAAGAAATAGGCTTCCTTATATAATGGCATCAAACTATTAAAACAGTTTTAGAAAATGAAAACATGGGATTTCCTATTTAGACTTTTGGTTTGCGTTTTGTTTGCCTTGAATAATAAAAGCAACCACTATCGCTTGCTTATTATGGTCATAAGACTTGTAACTTTTGAGTACTAAATATCGTAGTGGTTTGTTCAGTTTCCTTGCCTTTGGAATTATAGTATCAAAATTTTGTTTAAAAATATTTTATGATGTACAACTTTTCAAAATGGTTACTCAGTGTTGTTTAAATATAAGATGCTTATTTAGAAACTTGACTTTAGACTTTTTTTTAATCTTACCTTAAATCTCTTGGAATTTCTAAGTTGTCTGAATCAAGAATGTGCTATTTTTCTTTCTAGAGTTGGCTAGTACATTGCAATCTTCTTGTTTTTTCAGATCATGTACAACATCTCTGAAACAAATAAACAAAATTATTGAGCAACTTTCACCTCAAGCTGCTGACAACAAAGATATAAACAGAAAACTAGATTCTGTAAAACGGCAAAAATATAACAAGGTGATTGGATTGCATTAACTTCCTGC